GATCACATCAAGATTTCATTCAACAATGCTTCATCAGGATTCAACGCACGGAACAAATTAAAGTTAAAAATACCCTCTTCGGGCATCAACCGCATACACATTTTATCGATAGCAATCACCGAGAGACACGTCTGCACATACGCATCGATCAAATCGTCGACGCCGAGGCCAAGTTGATTGAAGTCTTTGCGATCCATTAGTAATAGACGTTCCGGTTCTGATGACCATCTACCGTCTGGTCCTTTCACTGAGAGGTTTGTGCCGAGCATTTCCCAGGATGTCCCTTTTTTTAAGATAAAAAAAATAAAGTCAATTCAGCATATAGTGGCAAGGGAATACTATTAGGAATGATTTATAAATGTAAATTACACATACTCGACGGGTCATCTTGTAAATTACCCAACAATGGTTTTCGTGCCCTCCGTGAATAAAGACATACTGGACGAAAACCGTCCTTATTAGCGGTGACCATCATACGCAAATCCGTGACATAGGTGTGGTTACGTCTGTTTGGAATGGTACCAACATGATAAAATCTACCGGCTCTTGTCATTGACGACCATGATGCATTGCCAACTAGTGATTGTACAATGAATTTGTCGTAATGGTGATCTTGGTCTAGAAAATGTTGTAGTTCTTGAGGCGTTGTAATTGTATATACACCTTGACCTATTTTTCATAATATAATGTATGTTATAATATTATGATCTATATTTACGCTACCAAAAATCAATATGTAATCAGAAATTCTAAAACCATGCACCTGCGTTACTATAAGGTTCTTTTAGTACAGCATGACCACCCATACTATGTAACCATAAAGGAATCTCGCTCTTTGTGACATTGTTAATCGTTTCTGGCATTCGAACAGCTAGCCCGGAATCTGATAATTCTGCGTTATAGAATTCATAGGCTCGCGCGGCAAGCATTTTATTTCGACCGCCAGCTAGACATGAGATTATTTGATTCATCACAAGTGTGCGTGTGTTGAGAGGAATTCGACTCCATGGCTTTTGTGTAACGTATCGGAAACAAGCACGAATTGAATGCCATTCTACGTAGTTAAATAATAACCTAATTAATTCTCAATTGACTTGTTATAATTAAAATAAATAATGATGCATACCTCCATTAGCATCCCTGATATACAACACACGATCAACCCACTTCACCGGTGGATCATCATCATTAATATGATACTCGACATACCAAACTTTTTCCCTCGAAATTTCCGCCAAAACAGCCGCATACCCGGATGCCTCCATATAATTTTTATCGCAAATGACCGCCAAGTCACCCAATGATGGATCAGCCTTCTCCAGTGTTTCCTGGAACGCTGATTCAAGAACAACTCGATACCCACCAAACTCTTCAGTTTCCGATAACAACGGCATTGATTTCTGTCCTGATGGGCATGAATTCGTCTCAACGATGATCATCTGGCGTTGTCCCGACGCTGTGGTGACATTGAAAAGATCCGAACCTATTTTTTAATAATGAAGAGGATAATCAGTATAATCCTTTTAAGTTATGTGTTCTGCCGATCTTTCTGAAAGTCATGCGAAATTACGCAATGTTTGTGTAATAAAATTGCGTTCGTGCCTTTTTTTGGTCCAATAAATTAAATATACATACCGGCCCAGCGAAAGTGTTTTGGTTGGTAGCTTAAACATTCGACGAGCTTCTGAACCTTAATTTGAGGATTTAGATGTGTATAACGCGCAATGATACGTTCGTTGCCCAGTTGTAAAAAACTTGCAACCAGCGGATGTATTGTAGCGTTTAGGACACGTGGGTAAAAATGTCGTTCTGATTCGAATTCACCTTTGTTCACGATCGTTGCGTGTTTTTTTAGTGGAGAGGATGGAGACGACATTGAGGGCGCAGCTTTTGTAGTATCGTCAGTAGTATGGTTATTGGTTATTGTATTGTGTGACGTAGAGTCGATTGGCGAAGGACTTGTCGAACCGTTGCTACTTCTTTCACTGTCTGTATCAGAATCAGATTTGTTGTCATAGTGCCTTTTAAAAAGTTCAAGGTGATTTTGGTTTTGTTGAGGAGTTGAAGACTTGACCAAGTCGTTATCGTTTGTTTTTGGCCAAGAGACGTCGTTCACGAACGAATTTACGATACCCGGTGAAGGTTGAGGTGTCGTGGGAAAATTTGTGTACATTATGAAAATTATTCTTGGTGTGACTCGTGAATTATTTTAATGAAGCTGACGGGTAGATTGATTGGTTGATATAAATTAGCATTTACCAGAGAAAGGAACGAAAGGGAGAGGGAAAAAAAGAAAAAAATAAAAGCACGGATTAATAACCTGAGGAATTTATATGGATATTTCATCACCTTCATCATCGTTGATATCATGTTTATTATGCATTCCAATTCTGGGATCTTTTAGATGATATTTAGTATGTTTACTGTTATTAGTTGGATTTAAGGCATTACGATTCCGGAGTCTTATTATAATATTCAAAAAATTTCTGCGCGTCCGCCGACCAATCATAAACATATTTTATCATTGTGAGTTCTCAACTGGCTTTCTTCAAAATATTATCGGTTTGTTTCACGCTTGCGCAATAATACAACGCGACGAAAGGGGAAGATCAATGCTATATTGATTAACAAATGAATTTTTTGTTTTCTCGCATCCCGCCAAAGTATTGGTCTAATTTATCGTCATATACTTGTCGCACCCTATATAATCACATCCTCCTTACAATCACATCACACATTTTTGCGCAATCTATGCAATCTACCTTCTAACCTCAGTTGACCCAAGTCAACCACTAATTTCAAAACGTGTAGAGAAAAAAAAGTTCTCACGCCAATCTAATTTCATATATCGACACAACGATAATATAACTATAACAATGTGATGGAAAAAAAGATTGATGGAGAATCGTACGTCACATCGCATACTTTTGGTTCATAATATGCTAATACGGGAAAATTCGATCACTGAAGTATAATAAACCTTGATTTTCAAATAAGTATAAATGAATTAGAAAGTGAATGTGTAACATGTAACTGCCTAATGCGTATAAATTATATGTTAAATTGTAGAGGGGATTACAAAATATTATGATTATCATGGTCTTTTGGAAGAGACGTTATTACGCAGTATTTTGACGAAATGAAATCGTCTTTCTCATTAAACGGGGTCCACCTATCGTGTATCTCCTTCGTGATAGCCCGATGAGGGTATTTTTAACTTTAATTTGTTCCGTGCGTTGAATCCTGATGAAGCATTGTTGAATGAAATCTTGATGTGATC